AACACTATTCCTAACAATCTGGCTTTCCCACCGTCTTCTCTCCTCACTTAAAGAAACCATGGGCTCGGAAGATCGTAGTTGTTAGGGTTTACCTTCTTAGCCTTAACACATGGCGACAGGTCTTCGGGTCAGAGAGTGGGAAACCACTGCCTGTGGAGTTGAATGACGTTTACGCCGCGGGCAGTAAACACAGAAGGAGGAAATAAACACAAGAGACCATGGGTGACAAGGCAGGCTGGCCAACGCTCGTAAGATAGTGTTATCTGCACATAAGACTGTGATTAAGCTGAGGTCCATTCCGGGGGACTGCTGTGCCTTGACTGAACTCCTGTTAGTCAGCGAAATTGCCTCGGCCGTCAGAATGCCGAAGGGGGACAGAATTGTTGGTTGTCCGCCGCACCTCCCATGGGACCGCAATGGGTCAAAATTTTGCAACTGAAGGGGTGAGTCAACAAGAGTAAAACTAACAGCCATTCGGCAGTGGTCAACTTACGATAGTCCTCGTGGAGGTATTCCTCGGCGTGGTTCAGTCGGTATCGTCGACCTAGACTGCTCATGAGCATTTCATCCTCTTCCATAAAGTTCAATTCCTCCTCAAATACCTTTTGCTTGCAGATGAAGGCAAATAATATCGCAAAAAGGATAACCTAAAAGCGCCAAAGGAACAAATTTGGATTTATTTATCACACCCGGAATGTAAATTAGTAATTCAATACCCTACCGCTACTGAAAGGGTATAAATAACAATATATGAGATACTCCGGCATACTTTGAGTGGTTGCGTAAGACAAAGGTCGACAAAGAAGGACACAAAGAGGGAGCTCAGCCATTGTTTGCATGCAGAGTCTCCGAAACCAATGCCGTAAAAGGTGGTGAAGGCGGCCGATGCCAGGATTCCGACGATGAGTAGGAACCAGGCCAGAATTCGCATTTGCCAAGGTAGAGAGAAGGGTCTTTTAATCTTCTCCGCTTTCATTGAACTTTCAATGGCTTCCGCGTAGGTTGGTGGTTGGTTCACTAAGTTCTGCCGAGGCGAATCCTCTCTGGGGGAGGAAGATAAAAAGGCTGGAGATATGAAAACGAAAATTTTCGATTGCAGTTGACAGATTGTGAACCCGAAACAAGGCAGTTGTAGTGATCAAGGCAAGGTGTACCTGAATTGGGTTCAGAAATAAAATCTCCCCTGTGCTCGGAATACGTTTGTTACTGAATAACTTTGAGAGCTGGGAGTAATAGTTCAAAATGTCTTAAAAAGGTAACACTTAGAAACCATTGGGCGTTCTTTTTCTCTGCGATCCCCAGTGAGAACGTAACTCCAATCAGCCAGGGCGTATCACAATTGCATCTTTGGCAATTTGGTGATGATCTCTTGACCTCTACGGTCCTCTAGCCATCA